GGTACTTTTTTTAAAAACAATTCTACAGGGTGTCCCAAAAAATATGCACACTTGTTGATTGTAAATAACTCTTTTGTGGTGAAGTGTTTCGAGAAGCTTTAGGCACCATTTTGTAGAGCGAGGTTGAACTTAGATTTACAGTGTAGAGCGGATCGCCGATCTCTCATTCTTACTGTAGGATTACGGTAGAAACTTTAAAGAGGGTTTTGAGCCATGAAAGGCCATAGTCTGTTCCAAAAAAAAACCAAAACAGTCTGAAAACTCTCGCACTGGGCTTACTAGAGTTGCTGATTTTAAATGTGAAGTTCGCAACTCTTCGTAATGCTTCATTAAAAAATTATGCGAGGTAAGCAGTAGCAGACGTTCTTTAAGTGTTCCTAAGAAGTGCGGTTACACAGTTTAGAAAGCTTCTCAACCTTGTGAAGAGTTAGGTATTGAGCTCAGGGTCCATAAAAACCCTATTACACAAATTTCCACATTTTTTTGAAAATTTTTGAAACGGCCGCTTTGTTCACAGTGACACCATGTGTTTGAAGTTTCTACCGTACTCCTACAGTAAGAATGAGAGATCGGCGATTCGCTCTACACTGTAAATCTAAGCTGAACCTCGCTCTACAAAATGGTACCTAAAGCTCTTCGAAATACCTCACTACAAGAGAGTTATTTACAATCAAACAGTGTGCACATTTTTTGGGACACCCTGTATAATGGTTTCACGTCTTCGTCTCATGAAATAAAGCGCAATTCTCATTAATCTGTCCAAAAACACAAACATGTTAACCAGCAATATATTTCGTAGTTTGGTTAACAATGAAACAATCATGAAACAACCATTGTCGTCAGCTGCTTATTTGCTTGTCTTATGATTTTGGACCGGTTGAACTGAGGGTCGTTAGAAGATGATCATGGTTGCCACTATGTAAGGCAGGCGCTATACTTCTCGAGGAGTATAGCATGGCGACGGGCGATCGCCAGTCGCCAATACTGACGGCTGTGCCTTCTATGCGTATCGATCGCTAACAAGTTACCACACATCCAATCGATACACATTTGATGTGTAGTCGCCAACATTGGCGACTGGCGATCGCCAATATCGGCGACAAAAACCGCTAGTTTTACACTATTCGATGCACATCGAACGTGGCCATGCTATACTCCTCAAAGAGTATAGCGCCTGCCTAACATGATAAAACCACCACATTAAGTGTTGGTTTCGACCATTTTACGTCCACTCCTGAGTGTTTCGTCTATCGCTTCTTACATATGAAGAGATAATATCACTCCTTTGTCGCTGATCTTAAGTATGATTTATGTGTTATTTCATTGCACAGTTTCACTTTCCATAACGCTTTCAAAGGGCTTCGCTATGGTTATAATCGTCCTCACCCCAGTCGTCAGATGGGCAAATTCGAATTTGAATTTGAGCATGCCGGTTGCGGTAGAGCACTGTACTTTCAGTTCTCAGCTCCAGCTGATGTTGTTTTTTCTTTGTTTTTCTTTCTCATTGTGTGCTATCTCTTGTGTGTTAACAATGTTTAAGTTCAGAGCTGATGATTTTGTTGTTTTTGAGCAATCTCTTCCATTAGCCTCGTTTCTTCAACTTTAATCTCAGGTGAGCCTATATAGACAAGGTGACGGGGATTTTGTGACATAAAAAGCACCAACCCAGCATATAATACTTATCGGAAGAGAAGTTCCGAGCAAAAATACCAAGTCCCAATCGCTCACCTGAGAACAGAGTTGAAAAAAAAGAGCATAGAATATGAAACATTGTCTTAACTACAATAAAATCGCCAACGAACAATGTTAACACATAGAAAGTTAGCAAAACTACGAACAATTAGAAGAAAAGCATGCGTAAGCTTAAAATGCAGGCTGAAGAAGCCGCGCTCTACCGCAACCTGCGTGCTCAATTTCAAATTCGGATTTGCCCAGATAGCGACTAGTGAGGTGAGGGCGACTATACGCACTTGGCTAGGTTATTGCGCAAGTTGAGGCTATAGCGTTGAATAAGAAGCGAAAAGATGCCTAAACAAAAGCAACCCTACTGTATAAATAATCTCACTTACAAGTGAGATCATTTATACAGTTAGTGTGGTTTTTTCTCCTAGAGGGCCGGCATGCCCCGCACTTAGAGGCAGTGTTTCAACGCAAATGAAGTAGTCTGGTCTTCACAGGTTTTGATGAAAGACATTTTGACAGACATTGCACTCTGAAGGCCAATTAGCGCTTTAAAAGTCCACTGACTCGCAGCTTTTTTCCGTACGAGCTTCAACACGTCCCTCTAGTCGTCGGCGTTGTTGCCACTGCAGCGGAGGTTGGGAAGGTGATAGGGTAAAAAGGCACAACTTGTTTGCTTCAACTCTGCGGAACCGGTTGAAAGCGGAGCTTTGGAAATTGCACTCACATTGAGAGGATACTTAGTTGAAAGCAACAACAATCTAGATGAGACATAAATCGTCTTAAAGCGCTTGAAACGCCGATTCCGGATTATAGTTTCTAGCAGCGGAGCGGTTTTGTTGAAGGAGTTATGAGGGGTGTTTCCCTTTAGGGATGAGGCGCCACCCAGCAGGTCTCCCCTCATCTATGAGCACTGTAGAGGAGTAGGGGCAACTGGGTAGTGGTAAGTAGTTTGAATGAGGATTACAATAAGGATTATAATACTCGCATTACCTTGATTTTTTTTAATACTTCTAACTTCGATTGGCATCACTACCATCAGAAATTTCAGGCTTTAGGGCTCTAGAGCCATTTAGAAACTCCATTTTGCAAAGATTGCGATAAAGTTGCATGCGAAGGGGATTAAAATTTTGACACTCTCCTTATCAAGCAAATCGCTTACCACTACGCCAGTTGCCACCAGTTGGTGCTCCTCTACAGTGCTCATAGATAGTGGGAGACCTACTAGAGGGCGCCTCAGCCCCAGAGGGAAACAACCTCATAACTCCTTTGATACGCTCCGCTGCTAGAAACTACAGATTTGGAATTAGCGTTTCAAGCGCTTTACGGTGATATATGTATCATCTGGATTGGTGCTTTCGACTAACAAGGGAAGCTTGTTTAGTCGAAGTGGCCTTTTTAAATGAGATGTATACCATACTAAGGGGCATAAAACGCTGATTCCAAATCTGCCTTTCTTATCTGTAGAGCATTTACGCACGAGAAGTTATGAGCGTTTTTTGAAGCCAAAAATTGATCGTGCATTTTGGATAAAATGAGTTGCTAAGATTTTACTAGCTCTCAAATAATGCAATCAAGTGTGGTAAATTTCTTATTTGGGAGTGTTTTTCAAATGAAGTGCTTTGACGATTATCACTGCTCCACTAAAGAGCTATAAAAAGTACTACGGCTATTTTTATCTTACTTGCGTATTCAATTTTTGGCCAAAATAAGCACTCATAACTCCTCGTCCATAAAAGCTCTGCAAGTAAGGAAGGCAGATCTGGAATCAGCAATTTATGCCCTTCAATATGGTTTAAGTCACATGTCGAAAGGCCACTTCGACTGAACATGCATTCCTTGTAAGTATCCTCTCCTTGTCAGATTTGAAGCCATAAATGATATGCTGGATTGGGAAAACTTACAATCCGCAAAGGTTTTGAGACCCAAATTTGGATGAGACACTGTCTTACATATCATAGGATTCTACATCGTCACCTCTTATCTGAGGCTTTTCGGACCATATTTGCACTCGTCTCATACAATGCTTTCTGCATAAAGTGTGAACAAGTAAACATACTCAAGTTACACAGAAATGCTTTTTTGAATCCAAAAAGGGATTATGCGCCAGAGCTGTCCTCTAGTAGTAATACGAGGATCAAATGACGACTGTATAGAAAATTTCCAAATCCCTGGCTGCCTCTAAAATGCACGGATTTTTACACTTTTTTGCCGTTCTTATCCAATTACTTGCATACTTAGTGTTACACTAATTATTTCATTTCTATGACATAGCGTTTCCTTTAATCGAAAATGATACCCGCAATCTAAAGTGTTTTATATGATTCTAGCATCAAAATCTGGTCCATGAAAAGGTTGCGGAGACGACAATGATCCGCGAATCAAAGAAGTAAGTGGACGGGTTTTTTAAACATTAGGAAATATCGCAACCCGTCTTGGGAATTTAAATTGCGTTCAAAACATAAATACTTCTCTAGAGGAACAATGAACAATTATAGGAATCTGTTTCACTGTGTAGCAGAAAATTCAGGTTTATCCCATCTGCAATAAGAATGTTCACCATCTGCATATGTGCATTGGTTTTTGATGCAAGCATAACATAAAGCGTCAAGTCACCAACAACGTATTTTTTTATCAAATAGTTTTCGATTGCCAGGCTGAGCGGAGCCATTACGAAGATTTTACCTCAAACTGGAGAGTTATTCTATTTCCAATATGAGCGCAAATTTTCCGTTGGTTTGCCAAATTATATCTGGTCTCTCGATACTATCAAACATCTACTTGCTCCATATTTACTATGTCTGTCCTACTAGGCTCATCAAATCGTATAGATATTTCTTTTTACTCACGGCACTGCAGAATCTTCTATACTCGTTATGCATTGCACTTGTTGTTCCGGTAAGTACAACTTTTAGAAAATGATTCGGAGATAGAATTGGACGCTTCAGGTTGTGCTGAAAATTCTCTCAATAATTTTGCAGGTCACTTTCGCTTCAAACTCTGCGCTAGTTTTTGTAGGACTTGGACCCTTAGACATACATTTTGGAGGACAAGTCGTAATGTTTCTCTTCTCCTTTGTTTTCTGCTCTAATCTACTTATTATCACAAACAGCTTCGTGCATAGATACATCCACGTTTGCAGGTATGTTCAAAGTAAAAGGTCTTATAAACAATTTTTTTCGAAGTGCGCTGTCACAGCATTAAAATGGATATCTTCTTAAATTCAGTGCTTCAGGGTAAGCCTCATCAACGTTTACCAATCCATATACGGTATATCTGTTACCTTGATTACCAATGCAGTTATTCTATTGGTCTGGCTGATGGTCGTATACACTGTATTTTGGCCATATGCGCGGACCACCGAGCAACTTAGCGGAGTAGTGTTTACAAAGCTGGGAGTCAACCTAATCGACTGCGCCCAAATCAGTTATTCTTTGGAGGTGAGGTGTACCAGTGCACCTACCTGAAGTTTTTGCGGAAATAGTCTAACTGTTCAGGTCGCTAACAAGAACCCTATGTTGCTTTTCCTGATTGCCAGTAAACTCCTTATGATGTCATCTCATATTGGCATCATAACCTATTCGGCGATAAAGATCAAAAACGCACTAAAATCACCGATATTAAGTGGGAATCTAAAAAAGATGCACACACAGATGTTTATACTTCTTTTACTGCAGGTATGAATTTACCAGCGCAGACAAAGCATAAGATGCCCTCGCGGCAGCCACGTGACTCACTTGCCTGCGCTTCAATACACTGCAGACTTTCAACTCGTGCCGCGATGCAGCAAAGACGCACCTGAAGTCGTGTCTGCATCTGAATTCAACTTTGGCTCACAGAATAGTGCTTGTATATGTCGTATGATAATCACCAAATTTAGACCGCGTGCCCCATTTTGCTTCTGTATGCACCTTGTATGGCTACGATAATCTTTATGCTTATCGACATAGAAATGTCGAGCGGAACTGCATACTTGTTCGGGTTTTCGTTATCGGTGTTTCCCTTATTGAGCCCCCTCATCAATGTTTGGTTTCTGAAGGAATACCGGAGTTACACACTAAATGCACTATGTTTGCACAAAACTTCAAACTTCACTCTCTTTTCCAAGAGAAGGTATGCTCAAAGTATTTCTATAATCTCGTAACGCTTCAAAGTTGATGCGTTCTTGGTCACATCACATAAGGACGATGATACTTATTTCAGGTGTAGACGTCCAGTAGTGATGCACCGGATGCAGTATTAGTTTTCTGCACTGCATAGTTTTTACCGAAGAATTTATTCAAAGCTTTATAAATACTTCCCATTTGCAAGAAAAGATTCAAGGACTCGAACATGTTGTAGTAATTATATTTTTTACGATGAACCATAAATATGTTTTGCGTTGTTTTATGACTGATATTCATGCATTGTCGTTTGTGAACTGCTTTAACGAGTCCCTGGGGAATAAGAGATTAAATTAATAACGGGGTAAAGTTTTTGCAAACAAAAGGATTCGCTAATCAAACAGGTTCTGTGTAAGAGTGCACACAGCGATTATCGGACGACGCCGGGGAAAAAATTCAAGAAGGATTTTCTCCCAAACTAAAAATTTTGAATCCATAGCGCAATATGTAGTGCATCCACACAAAACAAATATTCTCCTCAAATAGTTGGTTTGACGAAGAATAAATACTGAGGAGCTAAATGAGAAGTTTTTATTTTCTCTTTCAAACTTCCTGCAAATCGTTTAAAATACTAATTTACAAATTCTTTGCAGCTGTCTTGTCAATGAGCTGACTACCCAAAAAGCATAAAAAATCGTCAAAATGTCGTACACGTCGTTTTCCTTTTATTCTCGCCTAAATGTTAATTTAAGGAAACGAAACTTTCTTAGTTTCTTAGTGCAAACCTCCTCTGTGTCCTCTTCAACTTGTCCTCTCGCGTCACTTTCTGCAACGGGTGAGTCAAAAGTAATAGAAACCCTGCATCTTTTTTTCATCTTTTTGGATCAAATAGGTTGACGACAGGCAAGTGTTCTATACAGTTTCAATGCAGTTTTTTCCTTACACTAGCAATAAATCCCAACTAAATCTTCTAACGACTGCAGATGATTTCATATGTTTCAAACACAAAGTTTTCTATACTCAAATTCTGCAGTCCGCATAACTAGTTCCCAAAAATTCAAATCATGATAATTAAAGGTAAGCGCTTGATTACTTTGCAAAGTCAAGGTTTGATGATGACAGCGTTTGAACCCTTCGAATCTTGATTCTACGTGCAAATCTCCATTTTTGTTATGCATGTGCCACTTGGCGCCCACAATGCCGACAAGCCTGACGGTTTGTTCATGTGCATATCTAGTAACCCAATCTCGGTATCGCGAACTGCTATATCGGGCTGCGTTCATACTGATCCCGAAGTCCGCGAACAGTTTTAGCACAGCGCTTGATTGAGCACTGTGCTAGAACTGTTCCCAGACTTCGGCGTCAGTATGAACGCACCCTCAGGCTTGAAAAAATCGCTATGTTGCACATTCCTGTTGAGAGAACCGGTGGAAATGAGAGTTTGCTTTTCCACATTCAAATGACTGAGATAATCTACATATCCCCAACACCCCTCCCCCCCCCCCCCCCCAACTTCTTGAGATATGAAATGAGAGCCGATGTCAGGGGCATTATGCTATTATGCGCTGATTACACGACTCCAAAAATTCATCTACGAGGTTTTGTTAAAGTTCTCTTTGTCTACCAATCACGAGCATTAATAAATTAAGGGATATCCTTAGGCTGAGTTTATACTTAGTATGGTGAAGGTTCGGCTTTCCTTGAATCTTGGCATTGTTGTAAGCACTTTTCGGTGAGATTGCTGAGCTTGACCAAGATTGTTATGATAACTTTTATTGGCTGACGTCGACGTTTCGGCGATCTGCGCTCTCTTCGGAGCCTGGAAAGACGAAGTCATAAGTGTCTATCCACTCAGACGTCAAGTGCCAGGAACAAAACAAACCCGAGGAGATTAGCTAAAGACATTACCAGAGCCACAAGAACTCATACTCACCTTAGACGCAGCACAGTCGGTAGCTGGAGAACAGACCACCTGATGCAAAACTGCACCTCCAACCTCTATTTACACGCCTGAGTGACCTGACCTCAGTCAAACCCATAGAGGGCCTGATAAGGCTCGAGTTCGGTGGTGATTGCAAGGCACTCATCTTTTCTGTTCATTTTTGGATTTTTCGCAGCAATCCAAAATGCTTCTAACGTTTTGCGTGCCAGGAGTTCGGGCTCAAATGATAAGATCTTCACTGCAATCTGGACTTCAGCACCTTCATGACGGCTTATTCGATGTTGCCCCAGTGGTGTGGAGGGCCTTGATTTATTTAGCCCATCTAGATGTTCCTTGGTGCGAACACAAAGAGGGCGCCCGGTCTTTCCGATGTAGGTGTCTCCACATGGGGGGCGCCCATTACTTGTGGGTGTCAATTGAAATTTGCCGCGACGCGGCATTACAGTAACCCGAGCCAGAGGCAGCAGGGCCACAGGAAATGCTCCATAGGAGATGTTACGAGACTATCTTATTAGTGAATAGAAAGTACACATTTTGTGGTCAGGGACATATTAATTTCTGTGCTTCCCTTCGCTATCCTTCTTTATCCTCACAAAAACTTCCATCAAACACTAAAAATTAATATCGAAGTGTTGAAAGAGAAGATAGAATAGTATGCCTTGCAATGTGCTAATCAAGTTTTCTGCGGATCTGTTTACTGCCAGTCTGCCGCGCCCGGCATCTGCATAATTGACAGTCACAAGTAATGGGATACACCCTCTCCACATGATAAACATGTGATCCGGCAAATCACTCCTGACGCCATGTCGGCGCTATAGATCTGGGGGTGGTAAATAGACCACTCTAACGGCCTCTTGCAAACCCGCGCGTTGTACCGCCGCACTGTCCTGCTAAGTTCATCCGAAACAAACGGCAAGCAGAAAGGGATCTTATACGCTATGGAAGCTGGACTGATCCTACTGCCCAAAGAGCCGTGTTGCCGGGCAGAGAGCAGCCACCGGAGTAGCCATTCGATTTGGTGATCTGGGAAGCCATGCTAAAGACACGGCACGCTCCTGTCCCCCAGATGAGGCTCGAGCTGCTGTCCTGAACACATTTGCAACGATAGAATTTTTATGAGTTTATACTGGTTCCGAAGTTTCGGAACAGTTCCAGAACACTTCTCGCACTGTGCTGGAAATGTACCGGGCTGTGCTGCCTGCGCTGCAGCCGCGCGCGTGCGGTTTTGAGCGGTGCGAAATAACAACTTTCGACAACGGTTTTCATAGTAATTTTTGATCTATTTCATCTCATGTTTCAAAATTGGAGAAGGGTACAAGAATGAGCAAGCACAAGTTCGTTTTCTACATTAGCTGGAAACGTCACAAGTTCATGCCGCTTCCATTCATGTACATTTCTCGAAGTTTGGAGTTCTTTCATCAAAAGAGGAACGGTAGGCGAGAACATAATAGCAGGCAGTAAAAGTTGTTAGAAGAAATGGGGCTGAAACGCCCAAAAACCCAGTATCATTAAAAAAAACAAAAAACGCGATTTCCACAATCATGATGGTTGTATCAGTCCTCTCTGAAGACAGAGAGCATAGCGAAAGCGAGCAACATCCGCGGCCTGCAGGGCTATTTTTCGGGGGGGGGGGGGGGGGAGAGCGGCTGGTGCTAGCTTGACCGATAAGAGTCCGCCGACGAGTTCTGTAAGCGCCGGTTACGCGGCTACATTTAACCCACCGCCGTGCTGTTGAGATCGCCGCAAAACCCGATATTTGCCTTAGAATGCCCCTGCTATGACTGGACCGGGCTGCTGGACCTCTAAGCGCCATATCTCATAAACCTCTCCGTTTACGGCTTCTTAGCCACAGCAGAAATAGGACATTGGACAGAATATTTATTTGTTTACGTACATCACAATCAGAACATCATTGCATAATTCGAAATACGAAAAAAATATATCTAACATACTAATTTATCATCTTTGTCTATGATTTGAGAAAGCTGTAAGCGACTTCGTAGTTGTTCCTTCAGCAAGTAACCCCCATGGGTCAAGTTTTAGCAAATTCTGAGGGTTCCCGATGTTGAACTACCCAAGTGAAGTGGTCATTTTCAAGCATGATTGACTATATTTCAAAGGTGAATTAGCTAACTTTTATTGCACTTGATACTAAGCACTACCCCCTGTTTAGCCATACCATAAATCTGCTTTAAAAACCATCAAATTAAACTTTCAATGGTTTCACAAACTTTTACTTAGAGCGAAGAAGATGAATCAGGCCCAAATTACTTCCATGACAACTGCAGGACTCAGGCTATCAAATCATATGTATTTTGTTTGCTAAAATTTGCCACAGCGAAAACATTTGATTACGGTCATATGCTAAGTCTGCGCTACTAGGTGAATCGCGGGGAAGGCGGCAGGAGCAAGTACATTCGATGACCTGATCCTCGTTACTTTCACAAAAGTGGTTTGAGCCTGATTAGTCTTCTCGGGTGGAAGACTATATGTCGCCGAATTTGGAAGAGTCCCGCGCGGATTCCCTGCAGGAGCGCATGTCCGCGCATGTACAAGGGTGCGTATTTGTCGCAAATGACAGCGAGGACCGCCCTTTTTCGGCGACATATAGTCCTCTACCCAGTCTTCTCTATTTTAACTGAAAGCGAAAAATGGAACAAACGGGGTTTTGGCTTGCTCTTGATTCCAGATTTTGGAGATTAGTTGAAGTGGGATTCTCAAAGTGAGCACAGAAGTCGTAGTAGTTTGTAATGAGTAAAGAAGTAGTCTACTCACCTTTGAAACAAAGTTAACATATTCGAAAATGACTACCTTACTTGAGACCTATTCTCTGGAAACTTCAAAATTCGCTAAAACTTGGCCCACCGGTTATGTGACAGCTAATCACGAAAATGATGCTCTCGTGATTTTCAGATTCTTTTATTATGCTTACTGTACGCGTAGGACGGTAGGCCAAAATATCAGTGCTAGTATCTTGCACAATGCCTATCAAACATTGTTTGACTGACATTATGCCGCATCACTATCACCTCGAGAACGACCTGAAAACAAAACTTGGAGAATTTTGCAAGGATTTCTCCAAGACTGTTTATTTTGACTGACTAATGCTACCATACAATATTGGCAGACAGAGGCTGCTATCTTTATGAAGCCTCAAACATAACAGCCAAATCACTTCAAGGATTACTTCGTGGCTAA